ATTTAAGGTACATAAACTTTTGGGATTGACTGTATAGCCAATACATCCTTAAAAGAAACTTGAGAATCGGTATAGAGTACCAACAATAAAAATCTTCGCCAGTGATACGAGTTGTCTTCCTTCGTCTATTTGCAAGAATTTGTAGACAACAGCCGTTTTTCCATGTCAGAATTACAGACGAGGAATTCGTCGATTGTTGCTATTCGGCTTAGGAGTTACTAGAGCCTCTCGGCAAACACAAATCCAACGCGACGCAATGCTATCGAGAAACTCTTCCTGTTTCCTACTTCCGTTGTTTAGAGATAGATTGCTACGCTCCAACTCGCTGGAAAAGTTCAACTTTTCCACAGGAAAAATTATCGACCTCGTTCTCCATTGTTCCGTCCTGGACCTTCTAGACCGGAACAACGCGTCCAAAAGTTACATGACCTGTTACGTATAAACTTTCTTTATCTGTTCCGGCAATGGTAACCTGTTTGATTTTTCGTTTAACGTAATAATAACTAGTGCTCCTCGTAACGCGTGCCACTGTATCAGCTAAGCTTCTAAAACTTGTAGGATCTTTGAATTTCCGAGCGTTGCTCCGTGTCGTATCGCGGCACAATAGCGTGGCGGAAGGCTCGTGAATAAGCCCAACTCCCACGGGACTCGGCTACCAGGAGCGAATCAATATATGTAGGTAGATATAGCCAGTCGAGAGGCAACGAATAGCGATCCCGGCAAGACAGCAGGGTTGCGACCCTTGCGGGTTTTTAAAAATTTATGTAACGCTTACCACCTGGCGACCCACGAGCAACCCAAAACGAATTTTTACCTCGATTTCACGCTAGTGTCCGGAAAATATTTCCATTTTTCACATTCAAATTTAGAGAACACGTATAAACTAATATATTAGAAAACGTGATTGATTTAACGTATAATTAAAAGTATTCATTTTTAATTAATTGTTTCGTTGTTGATTTTGGTGATACACTGCGCAGCACGATACTACTTCCATTTTTCAGTTTAAATTCTAAGAGAAAGTGAGCAAATGAAAGAGCGTTTTATTATTGGTTGTTTCGTAGTTTCTACCGTGTTGTCCCGTCACACTCATAACGACACAGTTCGACCGTTTTGTTCAACGATAAACTCTGAACGAATAGAATTTCCGTTGCGAAACCGAACGATCGACGGGTGTTTCCCGTTATAAGGTGAATTGCGTTACAATTAAAGCTTTTTATTTATCCGATGGTTTAACAGGAAAGCGTGAAAATGGGTGAACGCAGTGGTGAATTTATAGCTACGAATAGAGAAAAGAAAAAGGAAGACTAGCTACAGCTGGTTTTATGTCAATGCGTTTTCGCGGCAGCAACGAAGAGGGATTAGAGTCTCTAATGACTTCTTCCGACTGGGGCAGAACTTTTTCCATGAATATCCTTTAGCTCAACTTCCAGAAGACATACTAAATTTCACCATAGAAACCTGATTCCACGACGTTCTGTCTATATTCTTAGGACTCATACGAATTCCTCTAAATTTAATTTTACTAAAATTTCGTGCGAACCGTCTTTATTTTTATGAAGTTGGTTCATTAAAATTAAATTATTTACAGATAATAATAATAATAATAATAATAATAATAATAATAATAATAATAATAATTAATAATAGTAAAAACTAGTATATTTAAAAAGTCATACATAAAAATGTTTGAATCTTCTCTATATGGATTATAATATTAAAGCTTTTGATATTTTCCTCTTCCATCTATTCAAAGGATTTCGTCTCTCAGCAAAATGCATACGGGAATACCTATACGCACCTGCTGAAGATATAAGATTTCCCCAGACTTGTGCCATCTGGTAGAACATGAAAAACACACCGAAGAACCTCGTGACCAGTACGTCCGCGGCGATGTCTGTGAGCGAAGCGTATGCATCTGCGACGACTGTTAAATAAGTGCATTTAGCGCACCAAAGCGGACCGCCGCCGATTCCCACCATCAGGCCAGCCGGTATCATGGTGTAGAATTTTGGATAGAACTGGGCCGCCATGAAGGGAACATAAGTTAGTATGGACAGGGATATGGTCCATTTGCAGCCCAGCCAACTGCAACGAAATACGAACTGCGATGAGGTCGTTTCTTGTACTTTACCATTGAACTTCCACGCTTTATGCAACTTCTCGTTCCTTCAGAACGTTCTCCCCAAGTATCTGAGAAGTGATTTAAAGTACTTCATTGCACTATTGAGTTCCGTGCAAGTGAGAGTTCTATAATCTTTTTAAACTTTTATATGCAATGTTTACGAGAGTTTTACTGGAATTTATAACAATTGAAGAAAAAATAATAATTAAACGAGTTATTAAAATATAAAAACAGATTTAAGGTAAAGTGATTAATCTTAAATTAAAATTACAAATGGGATTAAATGAGTGTAAATCTTCTTTGATCGTCTGGCAGCGAAGATAGAGAGAACATAACGTAATTAATCTGCAGAACATAAATTAAATATTCGACGATTTACATTACAATCAAACAGTACGTATTAATTATTAAACTGTATACACGTAATGAGAACACATAAATATTCAACAATTATGAATTACGTTCTTTATTTTCGGTTACTCTATATTTTTCCCCGGTATTGCTATATCAAATCTTATATTATTCAATAAAAACAGGAAATGCGTATTGTGTATATGAATATGATTTTGTCTTTGAAGTTGGGCTGCACTGGAAACAACCCTCGAATGTAAACAATGTCGTAGAGGCGGGATGAAAACTTCACAGACGATAAACTTTGATAATAAAATTTACTGCCGCGATGCAATGATATGAACTGGTTTTATCTATGGTATTAGCTATGTCTCGTGCGCTGTAAGTCGTAAACGATGAAAAGATTTCTTAGCCTCCGACAAATTTTTAAATCATCGAATACGATCAAATATCAATTTCCGTTTTAAACAGGACATCATATTCACTCCGTACATTCTTTCTTTCATTCTAACGAAGTCCATGTAAGCATAAGGTGATACTACGTTTGCTTCTAATTTATGAAATAGATTAATTATTTGAAATGAAATTATTTATTGAATTAATGGGAAAAAATACTTTCTACTAAATTTACTTTATGTATTACATATACAACTTATTAATCCTTTCACTGCGGCGCGTTATATGCACATCGGACGCTGCGATGGCGTATATTTACATCTCTTGTATATATTGATAGGCTTCTAAGGACGTATATTTATGCCTTTCGTAGTGAAAGGGTTAAGTAGACTTGTTCTCATGATCTGTTAAATCAATATTTAATTTGTAGTTAAATCAAGAGATGATAAGTAATATTATTCTTATTGATTCATTCTACATTGTATTACAGATTTAAAATTGAACTTAATTTCATTTTATATTTGTAGTCTTAATTTATAATAAATATTTCTTATATTTCTTTCTTTAGCTACTGTAAAAAACGATTGTAATTACAAAGAAAAAATATAGCATTA